GTATAAATGTGTGTATTTCTGTCCCCGAGTCCTCTCGACAATGTATATTTCTGCTAAGCTCATGTTCTAGTGGCGCATACGTTGCTTTAATCGGTAGGTATTACTTATGACTGTCAGCATTACTTTCAAATTCATCGACGTAGGTGCTGAAATCGCTATATGTAGCAGTACGTGACAGTGTACACAGCAATTCGTAGTACACATTTTATGATTTGATAGTTTACAATTTTAACACGATGTTTATGGAGGGAGGTGAGAGGAGTGGCCAAGAATATCTGTCATTTGATGTATCAAATTTGCCTAGGCCGTTTTGACTAATTGTAAGTGTGCGCGGGTGTGCCTTTTCTTCGCTTGAATTTTTTTCGTAGGTATTTGCACGTCTCCTGAAACAAAGAAGTCCCGATGCCATGCCACATATTATTATAGCGGCCGATACGATAGTCGAACACAATAGCACGATTTTTGAGAAGCCCAGTTCGAAAGAAAATGCACGTAGCACACTAATGGATCTGTCGGGAAACACGCACGCTGTTTGGACGGGTATGACACGAGCCCATTTATATATGTATATATTGTTTTTGGTTCGTACAATCAAGCGTTAATTAGTGGCAAACTTTGAATAGCCCACACTTACTCGATTGTAGGATGCTAGATGGGTTGAAGCTCTGTCAGCGAACTCTCTCTCTCGAATTTCGATCACGTGTGCCACCCCATATTGTTTGTGAAGCAGTTCACCCCATTTCACAGGAGGCTAAAAGATGCACTTTGCTGTATTTCAAATCGAGTGTGCTTGTATGCTATCACTACCTTTATATTTGAAAAAGCTATTCTGGCGGGATAGCTGACGAGTTCACTCGAACGACCTAAAGTTCTCGAGGTACTTCAATCGGTTCTCAGCACACTCGCTTCGAGGATGCCATACCACGTCGCATTACTTTCTCCGGAACTAAGCAATCGATCAAACCTTCACACTAGCTATGACCATCTTGGTGGTGAGCGAAGATGGCAAATCGGTCCAGGTCGAAAAACACGTGCTGGAGAAGACTTTAGTTACATTTGGGATCTTAAACGAAGAGCTAGTCCACGAATATGTCGAAAGCGGAGAGCCCATGTATGTATCCTTTTGTGCCTTATTTCCGTGATTTCTACTATTATTGCCGATAGTTCAATATTTGTACTTAGACTTGGTCCCACAAATAGGTAAACGAACGGACTTATCATTTATGCATTTACAGGGATAAGGCAGGTGGGTATGGATATCAGGGCTTGGGGTTCCAGCTTGTCGAGAGCATCAATGGATGCAACTTCAACGTTATAGGCTTACCCGTTCATAGTTTCTGTAAAACTATGGTAGCACTCATCGAAGAACTAAATTGGAGGTAGATCTTTCCGACTCCGTACACCGTGAATCATATGCTTTATTGCGCTACTGCGGCTATCTCATTTGTTATTCAGATACCTCTAGAAGCGCGAAATTAGGCAGAGAGCGAAATACCTCGTATAGATTCACCGTCCATATCACAATATACGACCCATCTCATCTATTTCATACAAGCAAATAAAGGCACAAACAAGAATCTATATTGCGACAGTACGCACAGCGTAATAATTTTTACTACTTCTTGCGTGAGTGCGTGATATGATGTATCTAGTGTTGTTGCATAGCATGCATACCTAAATGCACACAAACACGCACACACAAACACACACACGCACACACACACACATAAACAAAAACACATGCACACACACACACACACACAATCACTCACGCACATATACATATGCACACACACACACACACATACACACACACACACACACACACACATATATATATATATATATATATATAATATAGATAAATATATATATATATATATACACATATATTATATATATATATATATATATATACATATAAATAGACACACACAAACACGCACATATGT